GTGTATGTGTATGTGTATGTGTATGTGTATGTGTATGTCTGTGTGTGTATGTGTATGTGTATGTGTATGTGTATGTGTATGTGTATGTGTATGTGTATGTGTATGTGTATGTGTATGTGTATGTGTATGTCTGTGTGTGTATGTATATATATATATATGGATGGGCCCAAGGATGAATTTGTAAGTTTTCAGTCACGCATGCCTGCTTGAGGAGTCGAGCCTCCCAAGGGCACCAGCAACTATCAGCAAGGCGAATTCAGGAAGCCTTGCAACCCCGAATGAGATGCGGCTCCAGAAAAACTGGCCCTGAAAATTTTCGATGTGACAGGACAAGAGCCTTCATCACGCAAGTGCCAGAACAACTCTACGCATACAATTCGCGATGACGTGCAGACCTATTCGACAACCTGTCGGCTATGAACTGTTACGTAACACGAAGATGCAGATTTCAAGGGTATCAACCGTGTATAGTACCAACACCATGCTAGCAGCATCCGTTCTACATCATGAAGCCACTGTTAGTGTAAATGCTTGACGTTTGAGGCACGGACGATCCAACTCCACCTGGCGGCGCACATGGTACGGTGCGATTGATGCGCGCTCCGGTTATTGTCAATATTTCTGCGTTCGTACATGGCCGAAGGCCATGCATTCTTGTGCTGGGGGTCTGACAAAATACTAGCAAAAGGAATTTGGACGTGCTGCTTCGGCTCCCGCTTCGTGTGGCTGTGCATGTTGTGCAGCTAGCTGTGCATGTTGTGCAGCTAGCAGGGTCACCCTTTTTGCCTGCTGCGGTGGATGGGGAAAAGCATTGGGCGCAATTTCGGGATGGGGGTTAAGGGGGCAGGGGGCTGATCACATATGTAAACGACTATGCTCAGCAAACGCATGTATGTCTTTGCACTTACATATATAATACTGTCTTCACAATCGACTTCGCTGCTGCCCTTGCTGCATACATATATATATATATATGTGTGTGTGTGTGTGTAAGTATGTATGCATGCATGCAAGCATGCAAGCATGCATGCATGTATGCATGTAATACATACATACATACATACATACATTTGTAGCACTCGCTCTCGACGCATCAGGCGAGGTGTAGGGCAACCATACATACATACATACATGCATGCATGCATGCATGCATGCATGCATGCATGCATACATGCATTCATGCATTGCATATACATATACATACATACATACATACATACATACATACATACATACATACATACATACATATATATATACACATACACACACACATATATATATATACATATATATATAGGGTATATCTCTCTGTCTGTCGCGCTCTCTCGCTCTCTGGGTTTGTTTGTTTGGTTGTTTGCTTGCTTGTTCGTTCGCGCCTTCGTTTCTCCCTTCGGTCGTTTGTTCTTTGGTTTGTTTGTGTTTGTTTGTTGGTATGGGTGTGTATTTGTTTCTCTGTGTGTGTGTGTGCATATTTGTCTCACTGCAGAAACCAGCAGAAGCTGAATGGCGGCAAGGAGTGGCTGCAGGCAGTTGGAAAACCCCAAACCCCTGAAACCCCCTGAAACCCGATAACTGCCGAAGGCCTACGCCTAAACCCAACATCTAAACCGTGAGACCAAGACAAACTCCAAGTCCTTCAACAAATTAATGGATACTTTTTGGGGAGCGGGCCGCGGGCGCTCTTTCATTACAACTTCTCCTATCTGAATGTTGGGGTCCCTTCTGATTCATTTCTGAAAGCCTCGCCTGGAAGCTCACGGCTTTCGGCGTCGTGGGTGCCTGTGGGCTCAAAGAGCTCTCCTTGCACTGGGCAGAGGCTCCCCACCCACCCGCCCGGTGTCTAAACTACGGTATGGCAAGGCTGGGGACACCCAGACAAGAAGTCGTTCCAGGATCTCTTGACGCAAGTGGGTTTCAACACCAGGGCCACTAGGGGGGTGCGCGGCCTGCGGGTTCAGCACTCACTGGGACATGCCGGGCCAGGTTCCCAGTTGTCCAAGAGGCCGGACACTCGCCACCGAAGATGACCAGTAAGGCAACAGCCACTTAGGTCTTCGGGTTGAGGGCTCTCCCTCTCGGCTGCCAAAGCTCCAAGATGCCTTAATTACGAGACACCTGCGCAAGGACGATCAAGAGGTTTGGGCTCTTCGACTCGCACACTCGCTTAAGGCAGGCACTAGATTTTGGGGTTTCAGGGGCTGGGTTTTAGGGCTAGGGTGCAGGGTGGTTGGGAGTTGGCCTCTGGGGTCCCAGGCAAGTGATGCAAGCGCAAAGGAGGAAGTAGGGCCCAACAAGAGCAAGACTTGGCAATGTCACATTGCACCAAAAACTACAACATCGGCGCTGCGACTCGACTACTGCGAGGCGTCTCGCAGTTGAATCTGTGACGGTATGACTTCAGCATGCCAGCAAGTCTGATCCAAAATCCGGACCCTTCAAAAGGACGCAACTCTTTCAGGCCACATCGACAAAGTCCCCAGAGCGTACTAAGCCAAGCTGACATGCGGAAATTTGCCGCACGATGAACGGTTGGGAACGACAGCATTGGTCGCACCACGGCGCGGAACACGCTTCTTGTCGCATCCCCACCCGGCTCCACGAACACGCCGGTAGCGGAAGGACAGCCGGGAGGTGGAAGTTTACCAGCGAGTCAGACTGTTCACGCCTCCTTGTCAAACTTGCAGAACTATACAGGCTCAAGGCCATGGGCAAAAATTAATTTCGGGACGGCAGAGCACCGCCGTGTGAAATCAAGTTGCGGGTTACGGACCAGAAAGCTTCAACAGACCTGGGCGATTCGGCTACGTGTGAAGACTTAAGCACTATGCGAACTTGGTCTTGAGATCTGCCGGCATGTTGGCATCTCTTGGAGATGCGCTCTACGAACTACTGAATGGAGGTTCTTCCCCCTGCGCCCGATCGCGACGAGAGCTGCTCACATGTCGCCACCGTCGGCATCCTCTTCTTCCTCGTCCTTGCCGAACATGCTGCCACCGCCGCCGCCACGCCTTCGGGGGAAATGAAGTTTCGAGCAGTTCAGATACACTCTGACCGAATGTCAGACATGTTCGTGGCCCCACCTGGCACGTCCTTTCGCAAAGGACATGCCGATGCCTGAGGTTCAGGGTCATCCGTGGTATTTTCGGGCAAGATACGTGGCAGATCATGCTGACAGGCATCTGTACGGTCTGAACGGAATTAATTAAGGCATGACACCTGTCATCTCCTTGCCTCATGCCTTCAACCGTCATCGTCATTTGAGGAGCGGGCCTAGGCCGAGGCCACCCCCTGCCGCACCGCGCCGCCGCGCTTCGAGCTGTGAGCGCGAGACCCCGGTAATCCGGTACAGCTGCTCCTGTGCACAGGGGCGAACAAGTTTCGGACTCCAGGTTTCAGGATTGAAGAGCTCTACCGGGGGCCTTGACATCAATCGAAACAACAGGATCCTTATCATAAGGGCCCCTGAGTTACCGTGCCACTTCGAAAGACCCCCGCCCCCCGGCACCCTGGCGATGTTGTATTGCTTCTCCATGTACTCGGGGGAGTTGTCATTGCGCAGCCCGAGCAGAGCCAAACCTGTTGCACTCCCGAAACTTGCACTAGGCGCAGCAGTCGATCCGAACAGCACATGGCAAAGCCTGCGTACACATGTCAAACAAGGACTTCGGCTGGTCACGTTCATGCGCGTGCAGTTTTGCCATCTGTGGACTCCTGTCATGAATACACTCCGCTTCTGCAGAGCCTCCAGCGGCAACTCCGAGCCCCAACAAGACCCCGTCGCAGCCTGCGAGAGCTGCTCGGATCATGGAGGAGCCTGCAGTGGTCGCCTTCTGCCCCACGTTCACGTGGAAGGCATTCAAGGACACCTCGCAAGCAAAACTGACAGTGATGAAAAGAACGTGAGGGCACGAGGCAGATTCGTCAATTCTTCCAAGCAGCAAAGACAAACAGGAACATGGTCAAGATCGTTGTCACTTTCATGACGACGTTCGACAGGATCCTCGGAAGCTGCTGACAGGCTTGCAGGCAACAACATAGGCAACTTTCAGGTCTTGTCTGGACACCTCTACCTCTACTCACCGCGTAAGAAGCCGCAAAACCTCGTTAAGCCAGAGCCGTTTCCATGCGAGAATCTGATGCCGCAAGAGGCCCATGTACTCGAAGATCGACTCCTGGAGGCCAGAGGCTGCTGCTTCTCCCGGCGGTCAGGCTCGCGTTCTACATTTCCGTTCCACAGGTCGTGCGCAAGCGCCATGCCCAAATAGCTAGGTCAGCAAGGTTGGGCCACAAAGCTTTTCTGATTCATGAAAGGCGCTGGAATGACCTGGTCCACGAGCTTGTCGATGAGGCTGAGGAACTCCTGAACAGAGGTTCGGAAACTTGATCTGGTGAGTTGGCGCGGACATCAGGCCCAAGTGGAGAGCTCTTGGGCCGCAAGATGGCCAATCGAAAGCTCAATCGGGAAAGGGGAGTTTCAGAAACTATGGGGCCTGAATATAGACTCTCAACAGTAAGTCCGTCTTGTATGACAGCTCGATTTGAGAAGCCTCACCCTCACTGCAATCGAGGGTCTGTAAGGTCGATCCTCAGCTTCGGCTTCCGGTTCAGACGCACCAAAACCCCGACATTCGTTGTACTGCGGTTGCATGCTTTTTTTCACTTGTTGGTTGGGAAGATCTAGCAGGGTGAATTTGCCGCAGGGTTCCCTCGACATGCTGAGATCTGCGGAACAAGCGGCTTGTCGTCACAGTTCGTGTCCACCTTAACGGCTCGTCGTGTCAGCATGGGATCGTGCCCGCTCGCAGATGCCGGGCGTCCGGCAATCATGAAGGCATCCTGGATGGCATCAGGATCCAGATTCATGTGGAGCTGCTGAAAGGATGCCTGGACCTTGGAGCAAGGGAGCAAAACCACCACGCAGAGCAACAACAAGGGGAGCCAACTCCAAGCAGCCGGCCGTTTGCAGGTCCATCCCTTCCTGGGACAGCAGCAATAGCAGCTCGCAGACCTGCCCAAGTTGGAAACGATGTTGCAACCAATACTGGTGTTGAAGGTATGCGATGAATTCAAGCCACCAACTCTCAGATTGTCGGGGTGGCGTTCTCTCCGAAGCCCCCTCGTCTTTCCTTTGAACCTGACTTCTCTCCTCTTCGAAACACCTCCCCTTTTCGCCCCTCTGTTGAGACATGCTTCAGGATTCAGAATTCGTTCCGCACTGAAACATCTGCGGCATCAGGGAACCCTTCCTTTGGTAGCTTTCGGCACTTCGGTCTTCGCTCAGCAACACGCGTGGAAGGTATCACTGTGGGAGCCGGAGATAGTTCGCACAAAGATGCCCAAAGTTAGTCGTCGTCGTCGCCGCGGTAGGGGTAGTGGTAGTGGTCGTGGTACTGGCAGTGGCAGTGGGAGGCAATCGTAGTGGTTGTAATAAAGCAGAATGTGGAAGTGTGTACCACGTAGACATGTAGTAGTATGCAATAGTATGTAAGGGTGTGTCGTTGCATGTAGTAGTGAACGTAGTAGTCGTAGTAGTAGTAGTAGTAGTAGCAGCAGCAGCAGCAGCAGTAGTAGTAGTAGTAGCAGTAGTAGTAGTAGTAGTAGTAGTTGTTGTTGTTGTTGTTGTAATAATCATAAAAAGGAAAGGTTTTTAGTGGTGGTAGTTATCTTGGAGTGATCGGGGCTTGATTTCGAGCTTTTGGTTATCCCGACCCCGACCCGGGCATCCGCGGAGAACCGCAGACCCTCCACCCAAGCCAGCCCAGAAACCCTGGGATCCCTTCTAACTTGGTCAAAGCCCCAATCTACCGAACCTAGGGTCAGGGCCGGGGGTCACGGATCACGCATTATTCGAGCCGAACCCTTTTTGGGGGGTGGGGGGGGGGGGTCTATTATTCGGGCCTCCACATTAAGGCTGACACTAGCATTGTACCAGTAGTGGTAGTCGTCATAGCACGTGGAAGCAGAAGAAGTAGTAGCAGTAGCCGTAGCCGTAGCCATAGCCGGAGCCGTCGCCGCACCCACAGCCGTAGCAGTCGCAGCTGCAGGAGTAGCAGCAGCAGTAGCATCAGTTGTAGTAGCAGCAGTAAACACATTTGTAGTAGTCGTCGTCGTCATTCTTGTTGTTGCAGGAGTACAAGTAGTAGCAGTGCAAGAAGAAGTGATGGTGATTGCGCGGGCGATAGCGGTGGTAGCGACAATCTTGCAACTTTCGACTCACACACTCGCAAAGCAGGCATGGCGTACGACGTCCGAGGTTGCTACTGGGACATGCCAGGACACAACACTAGGAACGGGCACCAGTAGTAACACAACCAGTATAGAAGGCAGTAGGAAATGCCCAGTTCACAGTGTGGCATGCTGGCTCGTCCTGTGGTCCTAGTAGCTTCTAGGACAGGTGTCATGCTGAAGCTCATCTGTTTCAAAAGAGTCAACAAAGTCGGTAGGATTGGGTGCAAAAACGGTTCCTGTACCAATTTGTCAGTAGGTCTCGAGCATGTTGCATCAAAGAGAACGGCAAAATGCCGGTGTCAGGTGTTTTTCGCACATGCCTCTTATGGGCTGTGCTTGGAAAATGGTCAGCTGTGGCCTTCCCATACCCTCCACACTTTTCCACTGCCTGCATCAGCCAGGCCCCAGCGAATGAGCCGGCCCACCTCACCAATCTGCTGCGGGCTATCCATGGCATGCCACGTAGCAACAAGGCCGGCTTTGGGATCAAAAATCAGCACTTGAAGCTTGGCATTGAAATCGTTGATGTCCTTGATCTTGCCAAGGATGTGTTCTTTGTCCTTGTCCGAGGAGGCACGCATGTTCCGCACATCCAAGTTTTCGAGTGTCCGAGCGCGCTCTTGTAGCACTGCTTTGGACGACAGTTTCAAGGATTGCTCCATCTGCAAGCGTTTGGCCTCCGCAATCTCTGCCACGCACCATGCGCGATTGAACAAATCAATTGAAATTGAAATTGCATGACGACAACCTGTGCTTTACGTAGAAGTGCGGTTAGACGTCTGGAGGGCGCCACCAAAGCGTCATCAGCATGCAGTCGTCGAAAGAGCAACAGCTGCGAGATGCCAATACTCCGCTTGCACCTGCTCGAAAAATGCAGAAAAGGAGCAAATGTCCATATGCCGAGAAGTACTCCACTGAGCCATTACCGCCAGCATCCGAAAACCAGGACAAGCGCGGCCAGCGGCAAATAAAAACACCATGAAAAGCCAGTTGAGCCCGAAAACTGCAGAAAAAGGAGCAGCAACACAGCTACAGAGCAGCCTGAGCACGAAACCGCCCATAATGCTCGACTGCGCGATCAGTGAACGGCTTCGAAACATCCATCAAACGCAGAAGAGCAGTCTTCGTCCAAGCAGAAGCCGCTTGGTAAGCAGCAACATCGTGCCACCACTGACGCTCAATGCCCTTCAACTGCCGCGAGCAAGCAGCATCAGCAATGGAGTTGAGTCGTCTCACCTCCCGGGAGTCGCAACCAGCGGGCGCTTGCCAAGCGGGACATTTGCCATGGCTGGGCACCCAAGAGGCGTCCAGGCCTCGTAGCCCATGCGCTACACGTTGCCAAAACACCGCCAGGGGTCCGGAAAAGTCTCCGCCCCAGCTCCGGCGCAGCCGACGAATCGCAGCATCATTATCGGAGAAAACATGTCCATGAACGCCAGTGCCCTCCACATGCACACCCAAGACAGCCAAAGCCATCCTCTCAGCAGCAGCTGGTGTCTGCTCCGGTCCAGGGAGCAGACCAGAGATGATGACAGTTTCCACCGCACCAACCTTGACGACGACTGCCCAGGCGCCGCGCTGCCATCGCTCCATCCCAGGATTGATCAAGCAACCTCCATCCGTGGCACAGAGTATGGTCTCATCTCTTTGCGAAGCTCCTCGAAGGACCTGGAGGAGCTCATCGTCGAAAGCCACATCCATGTTGCCTGGCACCCTATCAAAAGGAATCGCAAGCAGCAAAAGCTTGCGCTCCGCCAAAGATCTCCCCTGCATCAGCTCAGGCGGTGCACCAGAACAATGAAAAATCAAATGCTCAGCCGAAGGCGCTTGCACACCGCAATCGCATGTGGAGGGAACGCCCATATACTGGAGGAAGGCGCCGTCGATCGCAGCGGCAGTAGCAGCGCGGAAAGCCATACGGTTGGAGAGACCGGCGACGTTTTTGTGCTCACACAACACTAGGGCCCGCCTGCCTAACGGACCTTCAAATGCAGTGCGAGTTTCCTGATTCCAGAGGTCCTGCTGCCAAGCATGCTCCGCTGCCAGCAGCAAGGAGCCGATAGTGTGCCACCTCGGTGAATACAGGCCCAGCAGTGTGCTCAGCTGCAAATCGGGACCTTCACTCCAACCCCATTTTTCACACAGCTTGTTCCAGCCACGAGGAGCAGGCTGGACCGGAACGTTCTGAAGCTGAAGAGCGCGCCGTTTCCACTCGACACGCAGAAGCACGACTGCAGCCGCAAACTCCAGATCCAGCATTGGACCTCCTATGACAGTGCGTGAAAGCAAGCGCGAGCGGCGCGAGGGCACTTTGCCTGCCCACAGCGCCTTCTCAATGTGACTCTGCCACCTCTGTCTCGTGTGAGCCCTGTGCTGCTGCCAACAGGCCGCCCAGGTCAATGCAGAAACCACCACGCTGCGAAGTATCATGGCACGCATTTTGAGATGCCTGCATGCCTTAGCCACCCGTTCGCACCTCACCTGCACCAGGTTGCTGAGCTCGCCATTGTCAGGCGCAACTCGCCCCCTCTTCATGGTATAGTAAACACCCAACAGCCTAAAAGAATCCGTGACAGTGCCAAGATCATTCGAAAACTCACTCAAGGCCCGCCTCGCAGCTGCCGTCGTAGCAAAAGCAGCGACTTTGCCAGGGTGAACCCTCACATTGAAATGAGCGTCAACCTCACTCCCTGCCTTTGCAGCACGTTGCAAAGCACTCGCCGCCTGCTCCGAATTGTCCCAACATGTACGATCATCAATGAAAAGTTTGATAGAGACAGTCGGCGAAACCCGCTGGATTGTATGCAACCAAAAAACCATAACGCAATTCGCAAGCGCAACTGAAAAGGGACAACCCTGCTGCAATCCAGTATACACTGCAATAGGCGTTCGGTGCACAACCTTATCGATCACCAAATAACGCTGCTGACCACGATAAAAATCCCGAATGACTGAGGCCAAAGTGGAAGGCAACCCCAAGTGCACGGCAGCGTCAACGGTCTGAGCCGGGCGCAGACTGTCGAAAAACTTGCGGATGTCAGTTTTGATCCCCATCAAGGGTCGACGACCCCCCGTTGCCTGAGCTAAATCAGCTAACAAGTGGTTGTGCACGCTGTTGATGCTCCTCCCTGCAACACCCCCTTGGATCTCATCGGGAAACGTGGCCCCAGCCCAGTCACGAAGCCGGCGACAGGTAGCAGAGGCCAAGGTCCGCCAGAGCACACAACTAATCGCCAATGGCCGATGCGAGCCATCAGCTTTGGGAATTAATGAGACCCTGACATCCTTCCAAACAGTAGGCACTCTACCATGTCGCCTCATTGCAGCCCATAGTCGCAGAATGCAATGCCAGAAAGGAGCGGGGAGGCAAGCCAGCTGTCTCGCTGCCCAACCGTCCATACCAGTGGCACGCCGGCGCTGCTTGCGAACCACCGCCATCAATTCCTCGACAGAAAGTTCAAGCACAGAATCTTCGCAGGGAGTGGCGGGGGGAAAGTGGGAATGAAGAAAAGCCGCAGTAGCCTCACCATCATAATCCCCATCCCGCTCCCACCATCTGGACCAAAATCCATGTGCCTCCTCCAACTTCTCTTGGGGCGTCAAAGGCGCCGTCCAGTCACCATCAACAAAAAGAGCAGGGGGGACAGCCCTCGTAACCCACCTTGTAGCCTGATTGACATCAATCCGCATTCGCTCCCTCCAAGACTCAATACGCTGACGATTGCCCTCCTCCGCCGCCGAATCAGCCGCAACAGTGACCTCGAGCAGTAACTCAGGAAGTGACGTAGCCTGAAACCCAGAAGAGGCAGCCTGTCTCCACACTTTGTGCTCTAAGCGCCTCTGTTGATGCAAATCATGATGACGAAGCATGGCCTCAGAAATCCGGCGCATGAGGCGCCGACATCTTCGCTCAAACACAGTCTGAATCGTGGGCGCTTTCGTGGAGGCACGCAGCGCTCTCTGAGGCCGAGCGGGCTGAGCACGGCGCCGACCGCTACCGTCACATCGCAGAGTGTTCTCCGCAATAAGACTGAGGAGCGTCCAAGCTTCATCCAACTCCCCTCGCTCGAGCAAAGCATTGAAAGCATCATCATGCTGATGCCAGCTGTCCTCCCATTGCTTGGCTTCAACCTTGTGCTCCTGAAGCTTGCACGCCGGTGCCAAGACATACCTATCGGGTAGGGGACCAACAGGAAGAGCAACATCATAAAAGACAAGGTCATGGTCAGCAGGACCAATGACCTGATGCTTGAAATGAATGAATAATTGCCCCGTATGCAACGCAAAATCCAAGCAGTTCAAGTAGTGCCCAGCAGGAGAGCGGTGCGTGGGCGGAAACTTAGAGTCTCCATGGATAGCTTCATTTGCAGACCTAAGAGCGCCGCAAGCGAGGGCATCTGCAATAGGGTAATCCCCCTCCGTAAGGTTGTAATCCCCCATGAGCAAAGCATCTTCACCCAATGTCGCCACGTGTTCAAAGAGATGCGAAAGCAATTCAGCCGCCTCAGCCTTGGAGGAGGCCGGAAGATACAGATTGACTAAGAGCATCGGCCGGGCATGCGGGCGCCAAAGCCGCATCAAGCCTCCTCGCCCTCCCGGTAGCCATCCAGGACTTGAAACAACCTCCAACGGCCAGCGACTGAAGGTGACACATCCCCAACAAACCACACCATGAACATCACGCCCTTGAGAATGAACATAGGCATCCCACCCAAAATTGCGAGCAACATTCAGTAGTGCACCATATGAGTCTCGAGGAAGACGTGCTTCCTGAACTAAGAGCACGTCCAACTTCCACTCACAAGCCAGCTCAAGAACCAACTGCGCCCTTCCCATCAAAGTACGCACATTGAGCGTTCCCACCCGTAAAAAGCGAGACTCCGTCATGGATTCCCACATGCCCCGCCAGTCGCCAATCCAGCAGGAATCTCCGGACCAGCAGCTTGATCCTCAATTCCCAGCTTCTGCTTTGCAGCACGTGCTGCCTTGCCACGATAGCCTGGATCCTCAAGCCACGGCTTGAGCTCCCGAAGCCAACTGTCTCTGTACTTGGCAAAAGCCTTGGCGCCCGTGCACGTGCCATCCCTGAAGAGGCAAGCCCTGGCATGCATACGGTGGCATCGGCCACAGATGTAGCGAATGCCCATGCTCCTGTCGGCCTGCGGCCAGGGAACAGCCTCGACATCATGATTGCCACGCGGCACCTCAGTCCCACTGCGCTCCTGAATGGCACTCTCAGGCTCCAGAAAGTCAGCGAGCTCACGCGCGCCCTGACGGAGACGTTCGTCAAGAGCAGCATCCTCACACTGGGCCCTCAGTCTCTTGAGCAGCGCTTGTCGCTGCTGCGAGAGACCAACAACCTGATCACAGCGCTTGCTCTCGAGAGTCTTCCCGCTGATCCCAGAAGCCCCGGTAGAACTCCTTCTTGCGGTTCATGTACGCTATGACCTCCGCCCGCATACGGCTCGCCGGCATCGGCTTGTCAGAGCCCTTATGCCACGCAATGGCCTGGGAGATGGAGGCGGGAAGGCAATCGCCATCCCGAGGAATGGCCACAAGTTTGGTGCCGTCAGGCACCTCTCGGTAGCTGACTGCCAATCGCTTGGCCGCCCCTTGGTCGTCAGCAGCCTTGGCGTCTCCGCTTGCATCCACCGGCTTCTGCACCACCTTGAACTGCGCAACTTCAATCTTAGTGCTTTGGCGCGGAAGCGGGGTACGGTTCGCTGGGCCTTGCCTCGAAGGTGTAGCAGGCAACAAGTAAAGCGTGCAGGTGTCACCGCTGCCCTGCTGCACCGGAATGGCCACAACGTCATGCTTGGAAGCCGCCCTGACAAACCAGGTGATCCCGCCTTTGCGCGACATGCGCCCAGTGAGCGTAACTTGCTCCAATCCAGCATCACTCAGAATGGTTGCCACTTCATCCTGGGTCCACTCTGCTGGCACATGAGAAAGACGCCACGCTCGCACCACAGTCTCGTGCTGCTGGTCAACTCGAACACCAAGCTGCCGCCTGCCCACCACCAATCCCCATTCGGGCTTCTGTAACAGACAGCGCTGAAGGTAGTCGCTGTCCTCCTCACCATCATTGGCCTCAATCCACCTGACCACCAAAGTCTTGTCACCAACTGTACGGCTCAAAGGTTCCCAAAACAAGCCACCAACGCCACTCTTCTGTAACAAAGTCTTGACCTGAGCAGTGTCAACTCTAACGAGCGCAACAAGCGTGGGCCCACGCTTATGCTCGACGGCTCCACCCCAGAGGTCCTTCACCATGGACGCTCGCCCAATGGCAAAACCCCGCAGATTCTTGTTGGCAAATGCCCAATCAGCAGCCGAAGCCAAACCTTGGACCAATGCCATTCTGATGACAACAGTTGGAACGGTCTTGATCTTCTGCTCAGTGCGCGCCCCCTTCAAGGTGGCGAGCGCAACTCCCTTGACTTCAAACTTCAGCATGCTAACACGATGCAAGGCCGCTTTGCCTTTCTGCCAAAATGGCAGCTGGAGCTTGCCTTCATCATCCCTCCAAACGATCAGAGCAGAGCTTTGGAAACCCCGCCCAGATGCAAGAACCTGCAACACCTCCGCCTCCTCACGATTCTTCACATGAACTAACAGCGACTCACCGGCGCCAGCATAGTCAGGAAGAGCATCAGCTGGAACAAGCTTGGCATGCCAATCATCGGGCCTAAGCCCCCACTCATCATGCTTGAGCTGTTGTGGAAGCAATGCCGCCTTGCCTCCATTGGCTGCTTTGCCAGCAGCCTTGCCTTTGGATGAATCGGCGTTCTGGCCGCGACCACCACCACCCTTGCTATCAGCTTTCCCAGATTGGGCACCAGCCGCGTTGGCCAACGGCTGGCCAGAATTGACATGCTGATTCGGTCCACCTCCCGTGGCAAGTTCAGGGCTTGACGGCTTGTCAGTACCATTGCCTTTGCCTTTTCCGCGCCTCCTTTTGCTAACTGTCTGCCACTCGTTCTCAACCGTAACACGGCGCTGGGGTTGGCGCGGCTGTTCGGAAGCTGTCGCCGGTTGCTGCAGGGTATTCACTGCAGCCTCAGCCTGTGTCACAAGGCTCCGGACATCATCATTACCGGACAACTTGGCCACCATCTGAATAAGCAATTGCACAAGCGAAATGAGCATAGCAATCTGTCCATTTTCGGCTTTCGGCCCCGGATTAGAGGCCTCTCCGACCCTCTGTCCCGCAAAGCCAATCAATCTCCGCAATTTGCAAACAATGGCATCAAGCCAGGCAGCTCTATCAAGACTAAGGGTGTGCGACACGCAGTTGCACGACTCGCACTTACCGAAGTCAACATGGTCACCATTGAGCTCAAGCATGGTGGCCTCCCTTGCACGAACAGTCCACACATTCAAAGCAAAACCCGTCCTAAAGTCCTCTGTCCCACTGTTCGTCACATTGAGCTCGGCTGTGTCCACTGTCACCGCGAGGAGGTAGTGGGCTCCCCAACAGCTGAACAAATCAAGAGATTTGTCCACTGCAACGACCTGTCGGCACCCTCCAGTCTTCGCAAGAAGGCACATCATGTCGTCGAACTTGTTGATCTCTGACGCGGCACTTCGGCCATCTGGGTCAACGATGTTGGTGCTGCCACAGTGGCACACTGGATGCAACTCATTTGTAAATGGGTCCCGGTCATATGGGTTGCTGTGGCAAATGCTGATGTGCTGATTCACCGCGAACGCGCAAACCCAATAAGTGACGTCCAAGCACCCCATCTTTGCCAAAAGGTCCTGAAGGAAAGTGCAATCTTCTTGCAGAAGTTGTGCTGGCAAGGTGAAACTGCATTCCTGTAGGGCATCCGAAAGCACTGCAGCCAGCAAATCGCCAAAAGAGTTGCCCCAGTTGTGCGTCACCATCACCTGCGCACGTCTTGGCCCATCCCTATTGAAGGCTGAAACTGCGAATGCACATTCTTCTTGGCTAGTCAGTGGTATGATTGCTCTTCGGACCACATCTCTGGTCTTGTGTTCGTTTGGTACATATGTCCAATCTGGCATCGAAGGGAGCTTCTCTTGATAGAACTGCAGAAGGCTTCGCAAGGTCATCCCGCGCATGGAGAGTTCTTCCACCTTTCTGCTCCAGGTGGAGTCGATTTCTAAATGCAAAGGACTGTTTTGCGGGACATTCTCACGGGTTCCCGTCTTGCAGCACCGGCTCCGCAGCCTCACTTCAGCCTTGGACATTCTGTGGCTGCTCGAGAGAAGGAGCACGGCCGCGGCATTGCCGAGGGCATCGAAAGCTTGGATGAAAAAGCACGCCACATCCAACATGTTGTACTCAGCCTGCCAAGCAGCGGATATTCCAAAAAAACTTGCTGGAACAAGCAGAAGCGAGAACACCAGGCTAAATGAAACGCCTGTGGCTTGCTGACCAGCAAACCTTCGGGCTTGTCTCAAGGAAGATACTGCGGAGGTGGAGGCCTCGGTCGCTTCTGCCAGCCTGCAAATACGCCGGAGCTCCAAATAAGACTTTACCAAAGAGCAAATGGCTACCATGCTCGCTGCAGCATTGCATAGCACTGTGCTGCTTCCTATCAATATCAGACAACACCCACAAATGGCTACCGCAAAATCCCTACCGGTGTCAAAATAGGCCAAAATCCCAGCAATGGGAATCAAAGCCATTGCTGCCCCAAGGATTTGGGCCCACATGAGTCTGCGAAAGCAGGCACTGCGGTAGTTCCACTTGGAGGACTTTTCTAAGAGATCCAGCCGCGAACTGATGAGTGTCTGCATCCAGAACAAAGCAAGGAGATACAGCAGCAATCGGCAAAATGTGAGTCTGAGAAACCAACTCTCACTTTCAGAAGCATCTGGTAGGACGCCAAACCTACACCGTCCAGAACTTGGAGAGCGCATGCCCTGCGAAGCCAAGATGGCTTGAATCCAGTTCACAATGGCATACCCACAGGCCCACCTTGTGTGAGGAGACGCTTCAGCCCTTCTCACCAGAAAGGCTGTTACAAAGCCGGCTCCCAAACTTGACAACATCAGCCCAGAGAAGAACAGCCGCATCTTGAGGAGTGGACATGAATGCGCATCGTGGTCAGCATCCTGATCATCAGCAGGCCACAAAAGACCAGTCGCGGTGGCATTGATCACAAGAACCAGCAGGTACGAGCGAGGCAACCAATGGCAACAAAGCCTTCGGACCAATGGATCTCCTGAAGACTTTCCAGTCTCCGAACTCTCAGAGCTCGCATCCGAACTTGACGCACTGGAACCGGGCATGGACATGAAAAACCGAAACAGGGACGGCGCATCAGCTGGCTTGAGCCAAAAATGTCTCTGATACCTTTGGTGTCGGCAGTGGTTGTGATGCTTTCGGGTTGCCGCGATCATGGGAGTAATAACCATGGCTAGGTGTCACCTGAAACCTGTCTGTGAGCAGGCAGGGCACCTCATGAGGGTCGATAATGCCGCAGCAACCGGTCTTCTCATCCACCTGCTTGAAGGCTGCCTTGATCTCCTGGAGAAGATCTGATCTCATGGAATAGGCATTACTGCAACCCAAGAGGTGACAGCTCTATCGACACGTCGGGCTTGCGCCGTCCTTGGCATCCAACCCGTGCAAGGTGGGAACCTGCAGCTCATTGGTGATGAGCGTGCGCACGGACTCGAAAAACATTCCGCTGGACATGTACATCCTCGGTGGACGTTCAAACTCTCTGCAGATGTGGCCTGCCTTCAAAACGAAACTCTAGGGGCTTACAGCATGGAGACTAGACTAAACTAGACATGTGTGGCCCGCTGGCCCTGCTGTGAGCCTTCGTCAGAAATCAACGGCCACACAGCGGCCAGACCTTGACCAACACGGATGCGTCTTGAGCCGGCACTTGCACACCCAACTCAACAGCCCCTCGACTCAATAGCCCTATCCCAAACTGGGATTGAACCTTCACCCAACCTATTCCGAGCTGGCTGGATGGTCTGTGAATTCACAGGTTGTGCAGCACAGCACGCGTGAATGAACCGTAGGCAAGGAGCTCCAAGAAACCGGAAAACAACAACAAAAAAAAGCAAACAGCAGCCAGGGATCACCAGCCGATCTTCGAGGTCCCTGACCTGTCGGGACCGCCATCAGCACTTTAAGCCCGGTTCGTCTTGTGTCCTGTCATCGTTGTCTACGTCGCACGTACCGACCATCATCACAACCTGCCCACCCGACCCTGTGGCCGGCCTGCCGCAAGGAGGGGTGGGTGCACTTGGTCTTGTCCGCAGCATACCTGCCGTGCACTTTCTATAGGACTTCTGGACTTCTGGATTTTGACAGTGACAAGTGGGGTTACGTTGCTTTCTCACGCTGCCCTACTTTCAACCCTACATTACACATAATTGCCCACTGCCCACAACCCCTCTACTAGAAGCACCTTTCACGCGCTCTAGGTCCTGCGAATTTTTGGGAGTGGCGAACAACGAGGCCTACAGCACCGTGGCGCCTCCAAAGTGGAACTGTACTCCCTAATCTACTTCATGGGGCATTGCCAGAGTCCATATTCTCAAAACCAACTGCCACGTCTCAACCATGGTCCAAACATTCCAGCCCATAGTCCCAGCGAGCGCACCAGAGTGCTTCCACCGAGGAAGTGGGCAGCGTAAACTCTGCCTTCTCTAGAGCATCCTGAGGCTCAGGGATGCTTGGGGGTATTGAACAGCCCAAGTCCCACTTGCTTTAACACAGTTTCAGCGGAATCACTAGATCATAGCTATGGCTACAAGAAACAGTGAATGCTTGCAGAGTGGTTGGACAACGGGCAAACTCTAAGCAGACTGTGCGGGGAGACTTACGGCCCAGTCCTTGAAGATCTGCAGCGACACTTCGTCAGTGTTCTCCACGAGCTTCTTTTGCATCCAGTGGTTTACCATGAAGTCCACGGACAAGAGGCCATCGAACTCATCGGTGGCCCGACCTCAGGTGTTCAACTCCTGCCGGCGGGCCCTACACTCGCACGCTCCACGACATCAGTGCTCCTCGCAGTGCTCTCGAACCTAGCGGGAGTACGACCTCAAAGCCGCGAGAGAGACCATCACATGCTCCCCTGCACCTGCTTGTACGGAGTCGAGCTGAACCAGCTATCTGAGGGCGGCTAGGTGCAGCCCCATTTCGAACACTTCCGCCCTGCAGGGAAACCGGCACTCGGGACCAACGAGACAAGCCGCCCTGCTCCCGCAACGCGTCTTGGAACAGCAGCAGCCCTTGTTTCACATCCTGCACGACACCACGAGCGGATGGTTCAAACATGGCACCAAAGTACCACCTGGCCTAGTTCAGGACATGTCGTTAGTTCGATGGCCTGGAACTATTCTTTTCAAAAGGTGCTTCCCTCCTGCACTGGGCTTCCCATCTTGGCCAAGATGTCAAGGAAGACTTCCTTAGGAAACGCGCACGGAGTTACGGTTGGGTTCGGGATGCTGCCAGCGAGCACCATGCTAGACACTCATCGGAGCCACCTTAGCCGTAATTCTAAAGCCAAGGGTCGTGCCAGATGCCTCGTAGCCGTTGCAAGCTCTTGCCACGGTTGACCCAGACGTAATATCTCTTTGAATCGCCCTCGTCCTTCTGCAGCTTCCACGTGTCGTACCTGAGGGTATCTGGGATACATCTGGGCGAGAGCGCGGAGACGCACAGCTGCCCTGAGTTTGCCCGTTTGCACAGAGATTCAGCAAAGCGGCTCCTCATCCACAACCTTCATTGCCTTCCATTCTTCGCTCATGCTGCGACTCTTCTCTTCCCGGGAGAAGGCCACGGACTTCACGAAGCTGTAGATTAGGGTGCGCGGCAGAAATGGCCTAGCATCGCTGCCTTCCGAGAGCTTGGGCGCCACGCCCTCCCAGGCCTTCCTCGGAGCCACGGCCACGACTCTGACTTTGCGAAAGCACTTGCGGCCAAGGAGCTCAAGCCAGCTTGGCCAGTGCTGCCTCAGGTTGGATATCGAAAGGATAACTAAGGGGAAAAGCAGGTGTGAGGAAGGAGCGGAAGAAAGAAGGAAGGCCGCGACGTGCTGATAGAATCCGAGGCGGAACGAAAACACAACGAGTTGACAATCCGCTTGGCCAATCACCTGCTCATCTCCCGAAGCCCATCATCAGCGACGTCCGCGTCCTTCTCGCCCTTGTCAAGCGACTTCCCCACGAAGCCACAGATGTTGAGATGCTGCAACATCCTTTGACTGATGTACTCTCTGCCCTTGCTGCCCCGAAGAGTTCAACAAAGGTCCCTCGGCCAAGAAACATCACCATCTGAGCCTTCCAAATGCGCCCGGCTGCTCCGTCTGCCACATCGGCACAGGACACCTGCCGACTTCAGTGTTGCGAATCTTGAAGCATACAGACACACAGATTCTCCAGCTGCACACGCTTTGGCTCAACACGACACATGCTAGGCGTCCACCGAACCCCCAAGCCGACAGCCTTCCGCAAGAAATCCAGAAACTTGTCCTTCGCCAGCATGCCGTCCTTGGCCGCCGCAATCTCCTGGCGATTCGGCTCCAGTAAGGCCTGTTTTCTTTAGATCTGGAAGAACAGCAGTGATCGCACGAGAACTGGCAATTGTGCAGGTCGTGGGTAGTGGTAGTACTGGTCGTAGTAGTCGTGGTAGTAGTAGCAGCGGCAGCCGTGGGGGCAGCAGCAGCAGCAGCGGTAGCAGTAGCGGTATCAATAGCAGTAGCCGTGGACGTAGCCAGTAGCAGTAGCCAGTAGCACGAGCAGTAGCAAGAGCAATAGCAGCAGCAGTAGCAGTACGTAGGTAGCAGCAGGAAGTAGTTCATCATCACCAACACGTTTATCGCTTTGCCTCATCACTGGAGCGGCAGATGCAGAGTGATGCACTGAACAATCACAAACGATGCCGGTTGGGGGTGACTAGCTCAAAGGTCGCGAACCCTCCTCTGCTGCCGTCCGAGCGGCAAACTGGTACATGACCTGCTCACGAGAGAGAAGATTGGTCTCGCCTTTGTTCAGTTCTGAAGCCATCGGGAATCCGATATTCTTGAGCACCTCCTCCTGATGGCAGGCAGCGGAAGCAAAAGGTTCTTGCCGCCATTTGGGCTCCGTCGGGTTATCATTCTGGATTGCGGGGATGCTGTGCCGGTTGCTTCCCAGAATTCCGGTATGAGGTCTCTCGTTAAAGGGGTTAAAGACCATCTCGCTGGCAATTATCCAAGCACTGACCGTGTTTGGACTGTGGTTGAAGGAAGCATACAGGAACAAAATGATAGGGACCGAGGTGCCATTGCACCCCACCAAATATGGCCATGAACCAGCTCACGGACAAAGTCTTCCACATCTGCGGGGTCAAGGACCAAATCCTTCAGGGAACTCTAGATGTGGCATCGTTACATCACACCAAATCATGATGCACCACGATGCAAGAAAAAACTGGTGAGAGACTGGGTGGCGATGAAAGGTGACAACTGTCCTTGGACTCGAGGCCATCATCATCTTCCCGTCTCCAGCTGTGGACACCCCGCTCGACACGATTGTAGAAGGAGATGTAGTGCATGGCCTTGCAAGCTCACACAAGGAGGGCCTGCGTTGAAGGCTTGGCCCTAGGAAGCATCAGCATGGCATGTGTACTGCCTTCTTCCTTCCTGCGCTCTTGTCAATAAGGCCAACATCTTCCAAGAAAGCCATCAATCCCTCCTGCCATGCCAAGCAGAATCAAAGCAGATTGGCTCGTGCAGGTGACTTATTCAAGAGAAATCGTTCTCGACTTGGTGACGTTGGAGTTGCTGAATTTGCGAGGACTGTGTTTTCCTTATTCCGACCGTATTCGAGGGCTTGTCCGAATTGACCCATGCGTGAGCTGCTCACTCTTCCAGCGCTGACATGCCCTGGCACGGCACGCAACCCAAGCAGCCGCTCCGGCTCGTACGCCTTCCGCAGCGTCAGTCGCTGTCTCACCTGGATCAGTGCACGAATCTCTTGCATGAGCAGCAGACAGACAAAGCAACATCGGTCCGTGCTGAAAATCAAGAGCGTGAGTCAAATAAGTTTTTCAAAAGTGCTAACATCTGTCAGCCTGTGGAAGCAAATTGCTCTCTCACCCCACCCAATGCTCCTCATATATTCCTGCAGGAGTCACTACGATGTCGAGGGAAAGCAACAAGAAAGTCGGAGCTTCGGAGAACTGACCGACAGTGTCGCGCCTCGGCTCTCTTGATGCTATTCTTCTTGCGTCGGATCGTGTCGAAGAGCCGCCTTACATGACAGGAAGCTCCCTTCACCTCTCATCATCCTTCACTCACTCGCTCTCTTTGTTCTGTACCTCTCTGTGTTCCGCACCCTCTCCTTCCCACCGTCCGTGATTTTTCTGGATACGTCCCTTTGCAACTCTGCTGAAATCGTCAGGATTTGATGCGACCACACCTGTAAGAGCATTTTGTTTGTTCGACCCCAACAAGACTCCTACTTGTCCTGTTTGTTTTAATTAATACCGCCTACTTTCAACACCGCCATCACCACTCCACGTAAGGCTGCCACTTCCACCGCCCACGGCCTTTGCCACCACAGTTTCTGCAACCATTACCACCACCCACGACTACCAGTGCTTTCTAGCACTGCGTCTACTTCTACTTCTTCTACTGCTGCTGCTGCTGCT